TTGAAAATCCACTAGCCTTTAGGATTACTTTAATATTAACAAAACTGGTCCAGGCTGGTGCTAATTTTCATCCCTGCATCAACACTAAATAGACTGAAAATGATGGGTAATCTCAAAAGACGTTGGCAAAGACTGCAATGTTCCAGCTCAAGTCAACACTATCCATAGTCAGCTCCCATTGGCACCAACCAATCCCCATTAGTCCTTGAATTACAAACATGAGGCAATAGTTACCATGGAAACCAACTAGGGACACAGTATATTTAGTTCTATTTGTATTCTACCATGGGCAGCTACCAATTTGGATTCTACATTATCAACGCTCATATTCCTATACCACAACACTTGAATCTTCTGGAGTGGTACGTTATCAGTACAACACTTGAATCTTCTGGAGTGGTACGTTATCAGTGATCAGTTAAGCTTCTCCTAGACAGAAGTATTGATTTTTGAGTTATTGATTCACTGATCATGGCAGTTTCAAACAATAAATCAACTGACAACATGACAGCTTTCCTTTAACTCTCACCATTCTTGACCTACTTACCTACCACAAACTTTTCAAAACAATGCCAAACCTTACCTTACTTCACAAATCAATCAACATACAGAAGTGCACCTTGTATCATTGTTTAAATCTGGACTCAAAACATACATTTTGGAACCCTACAACTGAATGTGTATATGTTTATTATCTTACTCTCCCCTCTCTGTTGTTTATATATGTACATATGCTGTGTTGTGCATTGAGCATGTCCCTCAGTGATTAGGAATTTTGAGCCTAGAAACAGCATTATTATTATTATTACCCCCCCCCCCCCCCCTCCCCAAATGATCAATTTCCAAATACTACAACACAGTAGTACTAACTTCACTTATGATCTTAATGAACATTAAAACGTCAGAGAAACAAATATCTTCCAATATTTAAGTTCTCTGATTCTACTTATGAGGTTACAGACAGACATAACAAATACATCGACCAACCTCCCTTGAAAGGTACAGATCCAAAACATGCCAGAAAATACCTTGCCATGGTAGCTCCTCAATGTCAAAGTCGTCATAAAATCGACTTTTCATGATGTCAGAACTGCAGGATCTTGCTTTTGTCCCAGGCGAAGATCTGATTCAACTGTAATCAACACTCCTACAGGTAGACACTGACACTTAACCACTGCTTAGTGTTAGTCCTGACACAACATGCCATAAATCTCATATAACATTATTGTCTCCCGTCATATAAGACCATACTGTCTGTGTGATACAACACTATTGTCTGTGTGTATAACACACAACTGCCTGGAGAGATATACCCTGTATAGCACAGCTAGACAATATCACGTGTCTATATTTGTTTAGCACAGCACTAAGGGGTAGGAAGGACACCGATACAATGTTTATACCACCGTCAGAGAAAGATAAAGACTTCATGTCACATGGTAATGGCTACCAATTGTGATAACAATCTGGTTGTTTGTATACTAAAGATCAGGAACATACACGACTAAGGGCAGATATTAATCTCAAGAAGGTTTTTATGCCTTTATTTGCGTGATTAGAAGGGATTGAGTTCCTGACCAATAATGGCCATCACATGACAGGTATTAATACCTGTTAATACCTGGTCCCATCTACTGGCTCTGTATTGAACAGTCTGTGTGGCACCTACATATTGATCACAATGTTCACTCTCAAACTGTATTCACAAATGGGTCGGCTGGAACCATAAATAATAGTGCAGATGGGTCATATCAATGAATAATCCTTCTTCCGTTCAACTCCAGATGTTGCCATAAGAAGGTGAAAGAGCCTCACTGACAATGATTCTCTCATTCTGAGTGTGTTGGTCAATGCTACTTGAAGCCATATCACCACACAGGAGAAGAAGAATTGGCTTCATTCTACTGTAGGGACAAAAAACATTTCGGATAAAAGTACAACTCTTCCAACCAAAGCATTTGTTGTGTACTGACTTATTCAGCTGTATGCACTGATGTAAGGAATGCAGGCAAACTGATGTCAAGTTACTCCTGAACTGACTCAAAAAGAATTGATCCGTACCTACAACTTTGATATTGACAGAATGTTGGCATGTCTTTTTTTCTAAATTGCCAATAATCTTATCTTCTATTTACACATAACATGTCAAACATGCCAGGATTGTCTCCCCTGAACCCTGTATCCTGACCCCACACTGTCAAGCCCTTGGGCATCAAGCAACAGAATCTGAGTTTATCACTGCAATATTTCCCCCTTAGAGTCCCCTGACATTTGGAGGTGTGTCGAGTGTGTTATTTCATGTGGTCGAGACGGAAATCAGAATGAGGCTCAATCCTTATCCGAGTGGCATCCTGGGAAGATACTCTACAGTATAAATAAACATCTATCCAATCACGTTTAGCTCTTCACCTGCTTGCACCCAGACAGGGGGTGCTGTATCGGGGTCGCACATCAATACACATAAACTCAGTTGCGGCCGCATTTTAGAATCATTTAGGGCTTATTTTACACCTGTGGCATAAGGTGGTACAGCACGGGTATGGTGCTGACAAACCTAGAAACATCATCAGGCCAACTAAGACTCCCACCAAGACCTTAGGTCTCTGGCATGCCAAAACCTGCAACTCTGCACAGCGAAAACCAAGATAAAATCTAGAATAACAAATTATATCAATTTGTAGATTTATCTGCACATACCTGATTTGTAAATTAGAGATCAAACATGACACCTAAATTATTAAAATCCAAATTAATTTTGAAATGGCGAATTGCGATACATTTTCAAACTTTCTTTTCAAGATGACTCATATTTCATAATCTCAAATTTATTCATCAATCACAAATTCCCAGGACAGCAACAGTATCGACACATTTCCTGTACATCATCTCATTGTGTTTATGGTTTTGCTACCAAATTAATCAACGTCTCCCAAAAGGAGTATAGATATCACCACAAACTGGAAAATTGCCAAAAGTTATCTTCATGACCATACTTTACAACATAGTCATGATAGCTACCAATTCTATGTTATTTTTCATTCTGTGGTTGAATAAGATAAAACAAACCTATTAGTCAAAAAGACCTATTTGGAGCTATTTAAAAAATAATAATAAAACAATAATTTTTTTCTTATCCTAAGTATCAGAATGTTCTTATGTTCTTTGGCAAAACAGTCTTGAAAATACAATTATGACCACCCTGCCACTATTTTAGCATGTCCTAATACCGTATTTCCTCGATTATACGCTGGTGATGAAAAAAGCACAAATACGCCAGGTAGTTTCATAATGCATTACATATTGTATTTCAACTACTGTAAGCGTTCAACACATTGTCCCTGGAAAACTAAAGCATTTTATAGAACTTTTAAACTTCGGTACCGAAGGAGAGTTTGAGCGAATCATAGTCAGAAATTGGAATTATAAGGCTGGTTCTTGATTAAACGTTGGTAGTTAAGAGTGTCTGAAAGCGTTTAGTGGAGGAATACGGTACTTAGGCTATGGAACTGAAGATCTATCATGCTCTGACATCTCAGACAACAGTAGGTACACAATTATGAATATTACCCATATTAGGGTAGAGAGATAAGTGTAATCTGCCGAATGATATGATGATGTGATATGATGTCACATTGCTGAGAACAATAAGGCATAACATCCATTGTTCATGACATCACAAAGAGATAAGGTTATGCTATCTGAACAATATGCTAACTTAGCAATGTTTCTCCAAAGGTTGGACATTTCAACATATTTCCTTTCTTAAAATGATAATGAACAATATATAGAATACATGAAAGTCAGAATTAAGCTTATTTCACTTTTGATGAAAGAATGCTGTAAGTCCACCACTTAACACCTAGTACAAACAATCCGTAAATCCTTCTAGCTTGTATTCTATAAGCACCCAGCAACCATCTTCCTGAGGCAAGGGCATTAACTGACTGTGAAAGTCGAGTTTCTATCCTTTCCCTAACTAGGCTGGAATTCCTGTGCACGATTGTAGCGCTACCAGTGACTATTACGAGTTATGTCTCTCCAAGCCTCTCCTATGGAACAATCAGATTCCACCTCTCGTATCATTTGCACTTATTCTGACCAGGAACCCAAACCAGGAAACAAGCCTATACTACTGAAGGCCTATTTTGCCTTGGAATCCCAACAAGCAGACAAGTATGAGTTATTGGGGACATATTCTGACCAGTTCAAAATTTGGGGAGGTTCATGGCCTTGTGGTATTCAAACTTACTGGTGTCAGTCACAAACATGAAACATATTCTATCAGTTTCTGCTGTACATTGTTCCAAATAAAACATGAGACTCAGGTGGTGTTAATAATAAAATTGGATGTTGAAAGTTACAGATAACCTTAAGGATCCCACAATTACAAATGCTGCTATACAATGTCTTTAACCTGCATTGCCAGTTAAAGCCAACATCGACATATTATTCCATTCACATATAAACCAAGTACGTCCTTCATCAAGAGTTTGTCCTAGGTCTGTAGACACTGTGTAAAGTCGTTTCTTAAGTTATCATCACAGTTTACCTAGCGATAGGCAGCTATCAAGTACTGTCAAAGTTTATTCTATCAATCGCTACTAGCCTCATAAGTGATTGAGTGAGTGAGTTGGATTTAATGCCGCTTTGAACAGTATTTCAGCTATCACAGCGTGTCAGCATAGTGTGGGAGGAAAGCCCTATGTGATGCACTTTGGTGAAAAACACAAGTACGGGTATGGAGCTGACAAACCAAGAAACATAATCAGGGGGAACTGGGATTTGAACCCATGCTCCCAGGTTTCTGGCTGCCCAATGGATGCAAACTGTCATGCCTTAGACACCTGGGCCACCTGGGCCTCCACTGGCCTCATAAAGGCATATGTTTATCTCCTGGGTATATATGGGTATAGATATATATCTCCTGACTTTGCACCAGATATATCACAGTAACCTAGAACATATAAGGGTGTATATACAAGGGAGAAAACTCTACATACCTCTCCTTGCCGCTGCACTGATAACTGAGTCCGTCTCCGTGCATGTGTCACAAGTTTCATCTCGACTCACTACTGATGCGTTTGCACTGAAATAAACAATGGCACGTCTAAATATAATATTTTATGCTCGTTAGATAGGTAGATAAATGGTATCTGAAAGACACTCCTGTAGTAAACTCTACATCTATCAGGCAATGATTCTGATGACTCCTTGCCAAACCTCTGTATGAGCAAGGGAACTGTTTACCAAATGTTCGAGTCACGGTACACCTGTGTATAAATCAAGCCTGGGCCAGACAAACCAGTGATTGACACTATGAGCAATAATAAACACCATTGGGATATGATGACACGCAAGCAACAAGTCTAGGCTCATAACCCAATCAAAGAAGTAGCAGATGTAGTCCTTGCCTAATAGTTATGGTATCACAAGGACCAGTAGAAATTTGCCATTTGTAAAGGTGTTGCTTTATGTGATAATTATAAGGACTAGTGGAACAAAAATGTTAGTTTCTACTACTGAGTAGCCTCTTATGACCAGCATTAGATAGTGGGGAACAACTCCAATAGATTCACACTGACGTGGTTAGTTCAGCGTGTAGAAACCTGCAAGGGGTAGCGATCAGCCAGGTATGACATAGAGCTAGATGAATCATTTCATTTTTCTTAGAAACGGACAGTTATTTCTTCTTTCAAGGGACAATAACCCTCAGCCACTGGTTCACAGAAGGACTGTACACAATACATTGTGGATCTCCTTGCATCTACCTTGTTTATCAAACATAATGTACCCATGATAATAGACCTCTAGCTAATGTACTTGGAAAGATGTTTTCCCTCATCCAGTCACCAATCAATCTGCCATGGGAGAGAAACTGCCCTTAACAGTTTGAAAATGATATAATTCTTGGTCTCCCTGTCTCGGCACCCCCAAATCATTGAACTCTCCCAACCAGTGAGATTCCTGGATTCAGCATGAATTTACATGATCATCCTACATCAGTTCCTTCCAGAAATATTACAAGTTATTTCAGGATATTGTCAGAAAATATTGCACGACCACTACACATGAGTTCGTCCAACTTCAACATTTATAGTTGGAGGTAAACCTTTCGCTGTAGCTCTGTCTGGATCTGCAACAGCAACAGCAACAACAGCCACAGAGCAACAGCTGCTCAATGGCTTAAACAGACATCTTGATTTCAATCATGGAAACTACGCTTGGCTTGCCTCTCTTATGCAATGAAAGCAAGCACTGCTTCTTTAGAGTTGTTTTGACAGATGTCACGATGCTGTTTCGCAGCAAATTCCCAATTATTTAGCCTGTTCCTGAATAGGTAGAACCAGAGCTGGGTCCTTCAACAATGAGCCCAAACGCCATGGTTTATTGTATCAATATACAAGGAGTCAGGATACAAAAGCGAAATTAAGTGTAACAATGTAACCTTGGGGTCACAATTCAACATTACTAAGCTTCAAATTGATTTGATACCTTATGGATCAAGTACCCAGTTACTTGTGAGCTGTTGCTTTCAGCAACAATCCAGTGATATCATACCAGGAACCCCAAGAACGACATTTACCCTTCAAGACTCAAACGTCTTCTGTATTTTGCTGTGATGAGCAAAGTGTGAACAAAAAGACTACATTATGACAGTTGCTGAAAACTTGGGGCTGAATACTGGCCACTGAGCAGGTCCAGATAAATCCTGCGTACCCACCCACTCTATATAAAATAGCAGTAAGTGGTATAAAGTGGGGACAAAAAGACCTGGCATTACACGACATAGCCATGTGCAGGCAAGTAGGACCCTGTTATGGCGTCACAAGTAAGTGCTCTCACCACTGAGCTAAACCTTCACCTTCCTTGACACTGCTGCAATACTGATGAATGCAGCATAAAAACTCACCTCCTCCCTCTATATAAAACGGCAGTAAATGGTGGGTGTGCTGTTCAAGTGATTGTTAATGACAACCTGGGCATATGCTTATTCCCTCATAATGGAGGGCTCATAATGGAGGGTTCACTCAAGCGTGAAAGTATCCGGCAACTGGTTACATGTTACTACACTGGAACTTGGTTCAGTGCAACTGTGTGCAATTTCACTCAAGTAGAAGACATTTTCACATCAAACTGCTGTTCTACATTCTCAGATTCAATCTCTGGAATGTTAGGAAAAACATATTTGATTACATTAAAACATTTTGTTTTACACTTCTGTGGGGGTAGTGGGTGAAATAAGCATGGTATCCCCACTTGCCTATATCATACACTGAAGACAGTTGACATTTTCTTTCTGAACATTTTCGAACAGATGCTAGAATCTTTCTCAAGTACTTGCAAGCACAAGTCAACTGTCTTCGTTGATACTAATTTCTAAAATGCCACTTATATACTTGTAGGTTTATACCTTAAGCAATTTTTCAACATGTTTGTGATTTCTTCAAGAATTATTTAAATAAGGAACAGCACAAATGAGCCCTATGCATCATACCATAGGCAAAATAAAGTAACTCAATATACTAATTGGTGGGCCACGTTTCAAATCATTACTCTAATATTTTTTTGTACAAGACCTCACTTCGGCACCACACACTTCCACTAACGAGTAGGCTTATATGACGACAGTATCTCATCTCAGAATTCCTCCAGCCAATGGAGAACTACCATTAGCAAATTGCCCTGAGCCTTTGTTAAGTTCAGTCAGGTTTCAACTTTTTCACTCCTAATAACGACCCAAAGTATGTCCAACACTGAAACCCATAGTTCAATATACTTACTGAAATGATGGCGGCCTGCTGTCTCCGATCCCCCCAACCCTCTCCGCGGGGAGGGGGACCACGTCCCCAGCCTGGGAGTCGGTACATTGTGACTGTGTGTCGGATGCACTGCTTTCTGCGGGTACCAACTGTAACACAACATGGACATTAAGTAACAGGATTAAGATAGCATGTACAGAACAGTGGTCAAATTTTAGGTTTAGGGGAGTCCTGGGGTCAATGAACTTTGCTCCTGTAGTCTTTGAATCGAGACCCATAGACTTGAAGACTACTACAGTAGAAAAAGCAAGTAAAATGAGTAACATGACGTCCTCCTCCCCCATGTTAAAGGTATCCCATTCAGGAAAGTGCTAAGAAAAATAGTTTTTTCCCTGAATACTATAGTGGGGATAGTATAAATGGAACAATGTCGTTCAGACAGGAAATCATATTAATCTTATCATTATATGGGCAACAGCAGTGTTTCAGATGGGTTCAATTTCAAGGACATTGACTGATTGTCATACAAAAAGGTCCTGAAGATATTTTTCAATTTTAGTAAAGATACAGTAAAATGTCCTGTCAAAAACTGTAAGAATCACAAACATGTCCTAATGATATTAACTCTTTCAACACCAGTCAACCAGAAGTGTTTACTGCTGGGACACCGAGTTCCCAGAGACTCTTGTGTGATAGATGAAGCCAACATTTATCAAAGAAAATACCTGCTTGTAAAATATATTTGCTACTACATGTTATACACCATTTGAAAGGTCTGATCCTATGGTTTATAAATATGAAAGTTATATTTTTCAAATTATTTAAAATAATGCATTTACAACTTAATTAAATTCGTTGTAAATAAAAAATGTACGCTAACACGTTGTTAACATCCAGATTAAGGACCAAGGAAGAAAAACATTTGACGATTTTCGGCAAATATGATTTCATAATATCCACGTACCTATTTCTGTTTTATTTTCATTGTTTACGTAATTGGAAAATCATTTTAAAAAGAATTATAAATAGTTTCTGTCATCACCCATTTCCCGATAACAGCGACTGTCCGCTTAGTAAAATGAAGAAATACCCCCGTTTTCGAGGTTTCGTATGAATAACACGTTCGTCGAAGAATGGCATATGACACATCGCTGGAAAGCTTATTCCTTCATCTACACGCTCGTAACATCGACTGGTTTTTTTTCGTAGTTATAACAAGCGATTTCATTGGATTAAAATTGGTTTCTAATGACGCTTTCTTGCTGAAATCTGCTACAAGTTTCGTGATTGGTCAATTTTGAGCACGTGACCTAAGGCAGCCAATCAAATTACGGCTGTGATACCAAGCTCGTGTTCGATAAATTACAGAAGTTTGCGAAAGAATTTTGTTAAATCGTGTTATTCTGAATGTTTTGAGCAGGAAATCACGATATATATTAAAAATATGGAACTTCGTGAATGTATCGTGCTAGGTTACGAGCTGTGACAAAGATTTTTCATGCATATATTTTTGCATTAAACATCGTGTCAGAGCCGAGATATCAAGGCGATGAAAGCCGAGATGTCATTTGACTTACATTACACGCGATCGCACGAAAAGATGGAAATAATAACTTAGATGTAAGTTTGATTACTTTTAGATATATTTTGGTTGATTTTATTTATTACTTTGTATAATATATTTAAAGATTTATTTAAAACGTCTTTATTTTCCTCTTTGACGTGTTCGATGTGGACCCGTTGTCGAAATGTGTGTCCGAGAATTTTATTTTCAATAACATCGCGAGAAATAGTGAATAATTTTTTAATTTAACGATAAAAAATGTTAAATTGAAATGGAATATGTATTTCAGACATTGTGAAATGTGATAGATTTAATAAATGAATGACATTACAGGTAGGTCCATAAAAATATATACTATTTTGACGTGACTACGGCTTGGCCGGATAACCGGCCTGCGGTGTCTGGGGACTCGATGCTTCTTGGCCGGATAACCGGCCTACGGTGCTGAAAGAGTTAACTCTCTCTAGCCAAATCACTGCAAATGCTGTAAAAGTGGTTAATTTCTCTGCTGTAATGGAAATGAAGCAGTCAGAAAAGCAACTAACTATAATCTTTATGAAATGTTTAGAAATTCACGACAAGTTCTCCCATTCAGGCCTACCATGCTGGTATAGTAAATACATCCAAGAAATACATTTTGATAAAAATATAGAAATATGTGACTCATTTTAACCTTTTGGCTGATGGATATCAGTACTCTACTACTTCTACAAATAAATAACTGAAAAAAACCTGCCACATATGGAAAAGCTCTATGGAAATACAACACACTGAAAGCTTTTCCACATTTTCTACCTGTCAATTGGCTAAGAATTTCCACTAAATACCTAAATAACCTATTAACATACTTCTCTCAATCCATAAAAACATTAGCTGCAAGAAAGGCTGGCATTTAATCCCGGTGAGGTGTTTTAACACTCTACATCAAATAGTGGACATCACATGGCAGAGTGTTCACATGTCTGGGCAACGTATCTGTACCTTGCCCCACACACCACTATTTTCTACACTGGCCACCTTAAACAGATGTATCTATGATTCCAAACTAAATGCTCCTTGGAGGCAAACTGGGGAAAATAATAATTTTGTTAAAAATTGGGATATTTTCAAAGTTTTATCTTTTATTTCTACATTCAGAGGTTTTCTTAAACATTGTATGATAACACTGCATTCAATGTAATAATGCAAACTAAGCATCAATGTAATAATGCAAACTTAGCATTTAAGCATCTTCCACCATACTGGTTCTGTAAGTCACCTCTAAAATACCATAAGATTAGTTGTAACTATAACAACATGAACTGGGAAATGTTTAAATCCAGTTTCGAAATTTCCATAGACATTTGGTATAGACTTGGGCCAAATTCTGGCCTCTGTGCAGGTCTAGATAAATCCTTGTTGGCATCCATATCTTCCCATTTGGAGTAAATATAACCAAATGACATGTAGCGCTTGGATAACAATTCATTATACTTATTTATAATATGAAACGCTTTGTGACCAGTTTACTGAAATATGTATCATATTATGATCAGTCTACTGAAATATGTATCGTATTGTGATCAGTCTACTGAAATATGTATCGTATTGTGACCGGTTGAAATAGGTATGGTATGGTATGGTATGGTATGGTATGGTATGGTATGGTATGGTATCCTGCGTTTTCGACCACAGTCTGGTGTGAGCATCATCAATATCAAGCAAAAGGCACCACACAGCACATAAACTGTGCCAAAACACTCAGGGTGCATAAACTCATTAAAATGTAACTGAAAATGCTGTGTAAAACCCAAATATGATGACTGGTTGATGTCTCAACGCATGTAACTAGACAGCTCATGGTGAGACCAGCCTCCATGTTTCGCCTCAAGTTATCACCATAATTACTGATGACTTTTAAAATCTTCCAGTCTACCTTTGTTGCCCGGCAACACTCAACTCCTGGCATTGAGCTATGTTAGTTTATATTTTGTACACCTGATAAGTAACTAACGCTATTCCTGTTGGTAATTACAATATTCTGGGTAATTAGCACCATGTTCCCGCAAGTGCCCCAAAAGCATTTCCAGACCATTAGGAATATTACATGACCAATTAATGCTCCCTGTTGCCCTGCTGTGGCCACTTAATCTGATAGACAGTAGACGCACAATCACTCTTTAGTGCATGGAGGGATGAAAAATGACTAGACTCCCAATCAGATGTTCATCAAAGGTGACATCACTCAAGTTTGCCCTTCAGCAAAAACACACAGAAATCTTGTCTCGTGTATTCCATTCTGTGTCTGCAGTCTACCAGCCCAAATTCATCTATTGGCAACATTCTTAATAGCCAGTAATGTTAATATATGGGCTCTTATGATCCTATTTGTTGTTTAACATTACACTCAGCAATACTCTAGCTATACAGTGACGGTCTGTAAACTGTCAAATCTGGACAAGGCAATCCAGTGATTGATATTATCAGCAGCGGTCAATGGCTTTGGGGTATGTTGACATGCAACAATTAAGTCACCAAGCCTAAATACCCTATCCACTGCGTTGCCTCTTACAACCAGCATAGGTTGCTGGGGACTTCTGACCTGGATCCCAACGGGGTGGTTACTGTATTCGATGTAATAAGCGCCCAGGGCACTTAAAGCTGCTCGTAGATTTTCTGCATATACAGTAAACTACGGTTACCACTAATCTTAGTTTGTAATAACCGTAGTTCGTTATAAGCATATATACAGCATTATATACAACAAATGGCCGGGACTAAAAAAGTTTGTTATATCGGTCAGTTCATTATAAGCGTGTTCGTTATTAGCGTAGGTTACTGTGTATATGCACACTCAAATCTATTGAAAATAGTGCCAATTTTGGCATCTGTTACTTTGGAGCAGGACTCTGTAATATTACAGCCATATGATGTCAGTCTGTAAATAATTGAGACTGGGCTACACAATCCAGTGGCTGAAATCATGAGCATCGATCCACGCAATTGGGATATGATGACATGCATCAACCAAGTCACTGCTTGACCACCAGATCCACGTAGTTGCCTCTTGCGACAAGCAGTGGTTGCTGGGGACCCATATTCTTACCCGGAATATCTACAGTATCTAAAGAACAACAAATGATGCCAATAGTTTGAGCTAGCAGATTCAACGCTATTGCTGCAGACAGACCCAACAATAATCTGAAAGTTTGATTATCTAAATTGTCAAGCACATCTTACAATCTTCACTTTCCTCAAAAGAAAAACATATTTTCTGTTCTTTCAATGACTGTCATTGAGATTTCACCTGCCACAGGCATGTTGTGATATTGGTGGTGATTGTGGCATCCTTGCCAATTCCTGTTTAGTAAAGGTTCAATTTGTTGAATGTCTCCAGGACACACAATTCCATTCAAATACAGCAGTTGGGGTCCTGAATTTCAAATTAGTCAAGATAGACATCGTTTGCCCCCAGTTACAAGTCTATTTACATAGTCTTATACAGTAGCTGTTTATAGAAAACTGACATATTTGAAGACTTCAATTTACTTTTGCTTTAGTATGTGATAAGATTATCAGAAACAACATGTAGAGTTTATTTCACCTTAAAGTTTCTAATAAGTAGTTTTCTTTCAGAAATCTACTTGACATGCAAAACCAAATATGACATCTTGCTGTGGCTCATTGTCAAGAGAACTGAAAAGGTTGACAACATAATTGAACTTGTCCTTGACCTCCACAAAAATTTAATAAAATTGCGACCCTGACCTCAAGGTCAAAATGTCTCAAGTCCATAAAGTGGTTATTGGGGAAACAAACTTTTCTCAAATGTTTTTGAAACCTTCACAAGTCATGACCTTGACCTTCAAAGTAAACATGCCCATAAACTTCACCTGATGTATAGACATGGTTCATAAGGTATGATATATCCGACACTAATAGCATCCATGAAGTAGACAAAAGTTGACATTCAGCTATATTCAGATGTATTCTGACACCCAATGTCTGATGGTTGCCATGACAGCCATTTGAATTTATCTTTAACTGAGAAGGCTCCCATAAACATTCGCTAAGAACGCCAAAAAAAATGTCAATGGAGAAGGCAAGGAGTCTCCATTGTAAAAATAAATTGTCTGCTGTGGCTGCCCTTGTTGATTTTTATGAAAAAAGAAAACCCAACTGCGTTGGAGTCTGGGACATCCAGAAACTTCTGCATAAATGATTTTGATATTTGTAGGTCTTAAAAGGGGAGTATTAGTAGCAAGTTTGAGAATAGACAACACATGAAAATCCAGTGTTCCCTGTGGGTTTCAATAAATCTGTTGGTCACAGTGACTATACTAAATGTTGCCGTGATACATTAAGAACATTAAGGCTCACTGAAAGAATGTATACTTTGGGGTCAGATAATGCTAGTAGCCTTCTGGACACCAATAATGACAGCTCTTGAAATTACTGGAAAACGTAAACATTGTTATATTTTAGTAAACACTGACCCTGTGTTAGAAGTTAGCAGTAGTCCTATAGTACTTGCGAAACTGCCAATAGTTAAGGTATCATGAGGACTAGTAGAGATTTGTCATTCTTAAGCGTTTTGCTATATGTTATCATTTTAAGGACTAATGGACTAATTTCTACTGCTGACCATAGAGTGAAACACTACAGGACCATAGAAACAATTAAGTCCTGTCTTAAAGACATGATAAGAGTCTTATAAGTCTGTGAATAATCGAGTCTGGACCAGACCACCCTGTGATTGATATCATGATCACTGATCTATGCAAATGAACCAAGTTTGCGAACCTCTTACGGCAAGCATGAGTTGCTGAAGACCAATCATAACCCAGAGTTTCACGGGTGTGAAAAAATTACAATACAACACAATGGAGTTGTAAGTTGTAATGTGCAAGGTCTTGAGTTAAACATAATCAGGGCGAACCTGGATTCGAACCCACAATCATAGGTTTCTGGCGTGCCCAAGGGACGCAACTCTGCACAGCGAATCACGGCACCTTAGATGACTGGGCCACCCGTCCCCCCTACGAGTAATCAGACAGGGATAAACACATTCCCTGTAATTGAATCATGTAATCATTATTGGCAATATAAAGTATTGTGAGTCTTTGAGTAGAGCACACCAGCCCATATCCTCCTATGTTCCTTCAAGGGTCAGAAGACTTTCTCAGAAAATAGGTACTCTCAGAAGATCCGAAAATAGGTATTCTCAGAAGATCCGAAAATAGGTACTCTCAGAAGATTCGAAAATAGGTACTCTCAGAAGATCCGGAAATAGGTACCCTCAGAATATCCGAAAATAGGTACTCTCAGAAGATCCGAAAATAGGTACTCCCAGAAGATTCGAAAATAGGTACTCTCAGAAGATCCGAAAATAGGTACTCTCACCAAGTTTATCACTTGATCAGCTTCCCATCACTGGTGAAAATCTAAAACTTCTCATATTTGGTGCAGATCTCATATTGACAAATATTATACATTATTTCAGCGGAGTTTTATTCTAAAACAGTATTTGAATGGCATGTACCATCTAGGCCTGGGACTCGTGTATTTGGGTCGGTTGGATCCTGAGTAGACCCGGGTACCCACAGTACTAACATCACACTCAGCAACATTCCAGCAATATGCCGGTGTTCTGTAAATAATCGAGTCAGGACCAACCAATCCAGTGATTGATATAAATAATGACCCATGTCATTGTTTGATGTTTAATGCTGCACTCAGCAACATTCCAGCAATATGCCGGTGTTCTGTAAATAATCGAGTCAGGACCAACCAATCCAGTGATTGATATAAATAATGACCCATGTCATTGTTTGATGTTTAATGCTGCACTCAGCAACATTCCAGCAATATGCCGGTGTTCTGTAAATAATCGAGTCAGGACCAACCAATCCAGTGATTGATATAAATAATGACCCATGTCATTGTTTGATGTTTAATGCTGCACTCAGCAATATTCAAGCTATATGACGGAAGTCTGTAAATAATCAAGTCGGAACCACACAATCCAGTGATTGATATAAATAATGACCCATGTCATTGTTTGATGTTTAATGCTGCACTCAGCAATATTCAAGCTATATGACGGAAGTCTGTAAATAATCAAGTCGGAACCATACAATCCAGTGATTGATATGAATAATGGCCCATGCCATCATTGTTTGTTGTTTTATGCTACACTTTCCAATATTCAAGCTATATGAAGGAAGTCTGTAAATAATCAAGTCTGGACCAGGCAATCCAGTGATTGATATGTAAATAAATCAAGTCTGGACCAGGCAATCCAGTGATTGATATGAATAATGACCCATGCCATCATTGTTTGTTGTTTAACGCCACACTCAGCAATATTCCAGCTATATAATGGAAGTGTGTAAATAATCGAGTAAGGACCAGATAATCCAGTGATTGACATCATGAGCATCGAACTACGCAACTGAGATATGATGACCTGCATCCACCAAGTCAGCGAGCATGTCCGTCCGATCCATGCTTGGCCACCTATTGTACTGCATCATGCACCCCATTGACCTCAGCCTGTGTCATTATTTCTGATTTGTTGGTTTATGCCGCACTCAGCTACATATCCACATTATGAAGATAATCGAGTCTGGACCAGACAATCCAGTGACTGATAAAGTAAGCGTGATCCACATGGCCGGTGTACAATGAAACACAATCAACCAAGTCACCAAGCCTGCCCACCCATTCCGTGTCGTCGCCTCTTGGGACCAGCACAGGTTGCTAGGGACCGGCACAGGTTGCTAGGGACCGGCACAGGTTGCTGGGGACCGGCACAGGTTGCTGGGGACCAGCACAGGTTGCTAGGCACCGGCACAGGTTGCTAGGCACCAGCACAGGTTGCTAGGGACCAGTTCTGACCCAGCAACCCCAGACAATGATTGATATGATCATGATGCCTACCTTTGTGTTCAGTATATGACAAACCGAACACACATTAACATTGATAGGATTAATGGAGAACAAGTATTTGTCACAGAGCGACGAAATATCCCCCGCCTGTACACCATAGTACCAAATATGAAGAAAATCCAGCGATTAGTTCTTGAGATATTGTGGCAACACCGTTTTCCAACTCCAAAAACAGATTTGCCTGCTGTGACCTTGAAAATGGGGTCAAGGTCACCAAATCTGACAGGTGTATGCGGTGTCTGTATATACACTATAGTTCCAAATATGAAGACAATCCAGCGATTAGTTCTTGAGATATCGCGGCAACACCGTTTTCTAACTCCAAAAGCAGATTTGCCTGCTGTGACCTTGACAATGGGGTCAAGGTCACCAAAACCGACTGGTGTCTGCGG